CATCATCATCATCATCATCATCATCATCAGCAGCATCATCATCATCATCATCATCATCATCATCATCATCATCATCATCATCATCATCATCATCATCATCATCATCATCATCCCCCCTACAGTCGGAGGACTTCCGCGCCAGCCGGCAGAGCTGGGGAAGCAAGCAGTGACACAAACATGAGCAGGCTTCTTAGAGCAGGGGTGCTTCCAAGAAGCCTTCCCCCCTCCCCCCTACCCCCCCTTGTCCTGCGCGTGGCCGACACGGGGGGAACCTGGGAACAAAAACAGAGGCGTAGACACAAAAGCTCGGCGGTCCACGCGCATTCCCGGGATCGGCGCCAGAGGCGCCGTCGGGGGGGGGGGTCCAGCGTTTCCGGCGCCGATCCCAGGAATGCGCGCGGACCACCGAGATTTTGTGTTTATGTCACTGCTTGTTCCCAGGTGCCCCATGTCGGCCACGCGCAGAGAGTGGTATGGGGGATGGGGGAAGGCTTCTCTAAGAAGCGCGCCTGCTTCTCAGAGGGCGCGGGCCTTCTCCGCAGATGCCAGGCTGGCGCCCTCTCAGAAGCAGCCTCCCTCTAAGAAGCCTCCCCCCTCCCCCTGCCCCCGTGCGCGCGCCGCCAGCCATGTTTCGGGCATTGCCAGGACCCTAAGTTAAGGGGACCCGGTTAGTGGTAGGGCCCCGGAGCTCCTAAATAGGCCAGAATGACTAAAGCAGGTCTGCCGTAGCTGGTGTTTTTTCGGGTGACGGCAGTTCCGGTTAGTGGAGCGGGGTCGGGGGCCGTCCCCCTAAACCCAGTTCTGCCAACGCCAGAATGTTTCTCTCCCTAGGAGCAGAACTGCACGAGCAGCCTGCGCCCAAAGCCCCAGCCAGGGGGGGCTTCTCTCGTCCAGCGCCCGGCGGGCGCGTTTTCGGAGGCGGGCCCTGGGGCCAGGGCTGCTCGCCGTCCGCCTCGATCTGGCCCGACCCCCAGGTTTCGGTCCCGATCTCGAGCCGACTCTCGACGGCGGGCGAGGGGGGAAAGGGGGAGGCGAAGGCCTGCTCAGAGGGCGGCGGGACTTCTCTCGTAAGAGCTCGTGCCTTCGGAACGGTCTCCTGCGTCTTCGGAGAAGGCTTAGAAGATCTTCTCGGAAGGCAGGGGGCCTTCCGAGCCCTCTGGGAGGAGGAGGAGGAGGAGGAGGAGGAGAAGGAGGAGGACGATGATGATGAGGAGGAGGAGGAGCAGGAGGAGGAGGAGGAGCAGGAGGAGAAGGAGGAGGAGCAGGAGGAGCATGAGGAGGATGACCACCTCTTCATGCCTCTTCTCCTCCCCCCCCCACCCTGGGCCCTCCGCCGACCCAGGTCTCGGATGCGACTCGAGCCGCTTCCCCACAGGGAGGGCGCGAGGCTACAGTCGGACTTGATTGGAGAGGGCACGCGAGGGGACACGAGACCCTTCCGAAGGCCACGTCGCCACAGGAGTGCAAGGAGGCACGGGACGCAAGGGTACCCTTGAGCTGGCAGGGTCGACCTACTACTCAGGGCCGACTGTGTTCGCGCTTCGCGGTTCGGCGCCGATGCCTCCTCATCCTCCCCTTCTCCCCTCGGGGGGCGGCGCGAGAGCGCGAAGGTAGCTTCGCGCTTCGCGCAGCGCGAGGCGCGAAGGTAGGCTTGAGTTGGGCCTGTCCCTCTACAGGAGGAAGATTCAGAGATAGTCAAAGAATAGCCTGGTGACGGTCTCTCTGCCTATTTTTTTATTTTTTTGGGGTACTTTTGGAGTGTATTGTTTTGGAGTCTCTTGAATTAGTTGTCCAACATCCCCCTGTAGGGGGACAGGCCCGACCTGAAGTTGGGGGCGCCTCGATGCCCTCTCCGGCCTGCAGGGGCAGAGGCCGCTCTCCACGACCGCAGAAGATTTCGATATCCCGCTCCGACTCCGCAGCGATTTTTGGGCGCGGGCCGCTCTTCTCCGATCCGATCCGGTTCGGTCTCGCCAGCAGTCGGACCGGGGTATCAGTGAAGTCGTTCTCCGTTTCCGTGAAGTCGCCAATCTCGTTTTCGTGAAGTCGCTGGTCTCCATGCTCGAGAGAAGGTTCCAGCAGCAGTTACAGTAATACAAGAAGGCTGTTTGTTTATCATCGTGCTCTTGCTGGAGATTCCCTTGGGTTCTACGACCAGGGTGTGAGATTGTGCAACAGCTCCACAGGTGGAGGGTGGCTACAGTCGGACCGAGGTATCAGATCGAGGCCGCTTCGGGGAGGGAACCCTAATGTTCTTCGTGCTTGTTGGATGCTCTCGCATCTCCTGGGGAGGGTACCACCTTGGATGTTCTCTGTGTGTTTGGGCCGGGGGGGGGTCTCGTGCTCTTGAAGGGTGTTCTTCTCTCCTGGGTCCGATTGTATGGGATGCAGCTCAGGTCTGCCAGTGTCCGTACATCTCGGCCCAGACAGACAGGCCAACGGGGTGTGCCCGTAAAGGGGGTAGGCCTACAGAGGCTCTGTAGCCCCGCCCCCTCTACGGGCGCTGAGCACGCTGTGAAGGCTCTGCAGCGGCTGCAGGGGCTCTGCAGCCGCGCCCCGGTGCCCGCATGCACGCTGACCCTGGTGCTCAGGGCACTGGGGTACGCGTGCACGCGGGCACTGGGGGAGCAAGCAGTGTGTCTCCGAGGGTGGACGGAGGACGGAGAGGGAGGGAGCGGCCCTCACGCTTGAATGCACTGCAGTCGAGACGCTGAAGCTAGGCCCCTTCGTTCCTTCTTCATCGCTCTTTATGGTAGCACGACGACCTGTATCCGACGAGTGCACATTCGCCGTGTCCTTGTACGGCTTCTCGATCCGCCCCTCGTACGCACCCTCTGCGCCGTGCGAGGCTCTGAAGTGGGGAGGGCTGGCGCCATGAGCCGCCCACTGAAAATTTCCTCCACGGATCCCGTCTCCAGGCTGCGCATTTCCTCGCCAATGGGGCCCTTGCTGTGGGAAGTTCGATGGTGCAGCCACTTCGACACTTCGATCCACACTGTTCAAGCCTCATAACTAAGGGAGGAACTTGGCCGATAGTTCCTACAGGTGTCGGGAACGATTCATCAACACTCACACGCAACATATGGTTTTAACTCAAACACACACCCTCCCCCCGAATGCAATGTTGGTTTCCGATCTTCCGAGTTGGAGTGTCCGAGCGGTGGTGCGTAGTCGTGCCAATTTTGAATTGCAGGGGAGGGGGAAGTGCTGGTTTTTCCCGGAAAGGGCTTGAGCCCAGGGTTCTCTTTTAGATGGTTTCCCCCCGGGTTTGACGGGAAGAGGGCCGGCGAATTTCTTTTGCGATAAATAACGAGTGGGAAGAGGGCCGGCGAATTAAACATTGAGGATGTCCCTAGCGAAACGCTTGTTTTTCAGAATTTGTTGAGGATGTCTCGAGCGAGACGCTGGTTTTGCAGAGTTGGGGATGTCTCGAGCGAAACGCTTGGTTTCAGAATTTGTTGAGGATGTCTCGAGCGACACGCTGGTTTTGCAGAGCCGACCGCGACACGGAAAAGCGCCCCTCGCGCAGGAATCCCAAGGATGTCTCGCGCGTGCCGCGTTCCGCGCGCGGGTATTTGGATTTCTTGGGATTTTGACAGGATGTCTCGAACGAAACGCTTGTTTTTCATAATTTGTTGAGGATGTCTCGAGCGAAACGCTGGTTTTGCAAAATTGGAGGATGTCTCGAGCGGTGGCCTCGTGGGGGGCCAGAATTCCAAGGATGTCTCAGGCGAAATGCTTGTTTTCACGTCCCGCTCGCAGGAATTCCGAGGATGTCTCGCGCGTGCAGCGTCCCGCGCGTAGGAGTTCAGATGATTTTGACAGGATGTCTCGAGCGAAACGCTTGTCCCCAGCACGTTCCGTAGCGCGTCCCCTTGGCAGGTCCCGCGATGCGTCCCCATGGCACGTCCCTTGGCACGTCGCTTGGCGCGTCCCTTGAGACGTTCTGCGTCGCGTCCTCCTGGCATGTTCCCCTGTCCATTAGCTCTGGGGCAGCTACTATGTGTTCAGGCAGCTCGAGCTTAAGATCCAGATCAGTTCGGTCAGGACTCGGATGCAAAGGAGGACTCGATCCACGAGGCTATAGAGCACAATCGCGCCATGGCACATCGCAATTCAGCACGGCGCAGCACAGCACTGATTTCGGCACGGTACATCAAGGTCGATGCACTCAGCATTGCAACTTGGCACGTTCCTTGGCACGTTCCGTGGGGCGTCCTTTGGCGAGTCCCCCTGGCACGTCGCGTCGCGCGTCCCCTGGCACATCCCGTGGCACATCCATTGGCACGTTCCGTAGCGCGTCCCCTTGGCACGTCCCGCGGTGCGACCCCATGGCACGTCCCCTGGCACGTCGCCTGGCGCATCCCTTGGGACGTTTCGCGGCGCGTCCTCCTGGCATGTTCCCCTGTCCATTAGCTCTGGGGCAGCTACTATGTGTTCAGGCAGCTCGAGCTTAAGATCCAGATCAGTTCGGTCAGGACTCGGATGCAAAGGAGGACTCGATCCACGAGGCTATAGAGCACAATCGCGCCATGGCACATCGCAATTCAGCACGGCGCAGCACAGCACAGCCCTCGGCAGGGTACATCAAGATCGATACCTTCAGTATTGCATTTGCCCGTCACCCAATCAGGTGTCTTTGAAAACGCTGCCATGTGTTACAGTTCTACATTCCTTTCCGGGTTCGTGGGTCGATCATGTTTCGGTAGCAAATCATGGGAGCCTGGTATACCTTCTCAATTCCGTCTTTAGCGTCGCTTAGCTTCGATTGGCGTCTGGGAGCCGATGAGATGTGCCGACTCAGCGTCGGTTAGCGTCGATTTAGCGTCGACCTAGCGTCGATGATCGTCGACTAGCGTCGATCAGCGTCGCTTCGCAAGAGCCGACAAGGTGGTATGGGAGGCTCCCACGAGTTGCAACCGACGGGTTCTTGCTTCCCGCAACCGCTGCGTTGCTTTGCCTGCGCCGTGGGGGCCGGCGCGCGCGCGCGCCACGCCGAGGGGTCGCTGAGCCCCTGCTACGCGGACGGGCCTGGCGGCAGAGTCAGGCCCCCTTGCGCGCGCGCGGGCAGAGGGCCGCTGCGAAGCGCGCGGGCCCGGGGGGGAAGGGGCCAGCCCCGGGGTTTTAAGCCGGGCATGGTCCTCTACAGGAGGAGTGTTCCGAAATAGGCCAAAAATGTCAGGGGACGATTTTTCGACTATGTCTGACTGTCTGGGGATCTGTTTTGACTATGCCTTATTTCTCTTGCCTGTAGGAGGACATGCCCGACTTAACCATAAGGATGCGACCGCATCCGACGTACGTTCTAATCCGATCCGATCTTCCGATGCGGTGATGGTCTCCTCGTCGAAGAAGAAAGAACTCCATGAACATAAACTGTTGGCGCTCCGCGCGAATTTCTTGGATCCGCGCTGGGCCCCCCCCCCCGGCGGCGCCTCCGGCGCCGCCCCTGGCGCGCTCCGCGCGCCAGGGAAGGAGGTCTTGTGCAGATCCAAGAAGTCCGCGCGGAGCGTCAAAAGTTTATGTCTATGGCGTTTTTTCTTCTTTCTATGAAGGAGAGCAGTTTTCCTCGAATCGCCCCTGCCCCATGTTTCGGTTGAGGGAAGAAATTAAGCAACACTCCCCCCCCCCTCCCCCGCAATCCAAAGTTGGCACGTTCCTCGAAGACCACACGGAGGCCCAAAATCGGAAGATTCGAGACCAACATTTCATTTTTGGGGGGGAGTTCAAGCAATATGTTCTGCGTGGGTGTTCCTTAAGACCAGCATTTTTCCCGGAAAGGGCAAAGGCCCAGGGTTCTCTTTTAGTTGGTTTCCCCCCGGTTTTGACGGTTGTAGGGCCGGCGAATTTCTTTTGCGATAAATAACGAGGTCGCGTAGGGCCGGCGAATTAAAATTTGAGGATGTCTCGAGCGAAACGCTTGTTTTTCAGAATTTATTGAGGATGTCTCGAGCGAAACGCTTGTTTTGTGTTGTAGATTGTCCTCGCCTGGGGACCTGAATTCAGAGGATCTCTCAAGTGAGATGCTTGTTTTTCACGTGCACAGATCTTGAGGATGTCTCGAGCGAGACGCTTGGTTTCACGCCTCCAGGTGGCCCAGACAGATGTCTAGCATGAGGATTTGTCGAGGATGTCTCGAACCAGAGGCTTATTTTCACGTGTCCAGGTCGCCCAGGCGGATGTCTAGCATGAGCATTTGTTGAGGATGTCTCGAGCGAGACGCTTGTTTGCACGTGTCCAGGTTGCCCAGGCGGATGTCTAGCATGAGGATGTGCTGACAACGTCTTGAGCGAAACGCGTGTTTTCACGTGTCCAGGTCGCCCAGGCACAGCACAGCCCTCGGCACGGTACATCAACATCGATACCCTTAGCATTGCAGCCTGGCATGTTGCCTGGCACGTTCCGCGGAGCGTCCCGTGGCGAGTCCCCCTGGCACGTCGCGCGGTGCACGTCCATTGGCACGTTCCGTAGCGCGTCCCCTTGGCACGTCCCGCGGTGCGTGCCCATGGCACGTCCCCTGGCACGTCGCCTGGCGCGTCCCTTGGGACGTTCCGCGGCGCGTCCTCTGGCATGTTCCCTCTGTCGATTAGTTCTGGGGCAGCTACCATCTGCTCAGGCAGCTCGAGCTTACGATCCAGATCAGTTCGGTGAGGACTCGGATGCCAGGGAGGACTCGATCCACAACGCTATATAGAGCACAATCGCGGCATGGCACATCGCAGTTCAGCACGGCCCAGCACAGCACAGCCGTCGGCACGGTACATCAAGATCGATGCACTCAACTATGCACCTTGGCACGTTCCTTGGCGTGTTCCGTGGCGAGTCAACCTGGCACGTCGCGCGGCGCGTCCCCTGGCGCGTCCCTCGGCACGTCCATTGGCACGTTCCGTAGCGCGTCCCCTTGGCACGTCCCGCGGTGCGTCCCCATGGCACGTCCCCTGGCACGTCGCCTGGCGCGTCCCTTGGGACGTTCCGCGGCGCGTCCTCCTGGCATGTTCCCTCTGTCGATTAGTTCTGGGGCAGCTACCATCTGCTCAGGCAGCTCGAGCTTACGCTCCAGATCAGTTCGGTGAGGACTCGGATGCCAGGGAGGACTCGATCCACAACGCTATATAGAGCACAATCGCGGCATGGCACATCGCAGTTCAGCACGGCGTAGCACAGCACAGCCCTCGGCACAGTACATCATCATCGATACATTCAGCATTGCATGTGCCCGTCGCCCAATCAGGTGTCTTTGACATGTTGCAATGCCTTACATCTCTATATTCCTTTCCGGGTTCGTGGGTCGATCATGTCATTTTGGGGGGGGAGTTCAAGCAATATGTTCTGCGTGGGTGTTCCTTAATTGTTTCCGGCAGCTGGATTTCCAGACGCCATAGAACTCTAGAATCGGACCCCTCACCAGAAAGAATTTCGAGCGCCAGAGGAGTACCCAAAAACTCGAGGGTTTTCACGTGTCGGGCCCTGGGAGACACTCGTCCGACATTGTTTCGACACTCCTTCGACACTTTTCCGGGTGCTCGAAATCATTTTTGGGATGTGGTCCTCAAGTACGATGGGAGCAACATAATTTTAGATATCCAAGGCAAGTTGCATGCGAACAAGATGAGCCCCTGCTCCTCATCCTCCTCCTCCTCTTTCTCCTCCTCCTCCTCCTCCTTCTCCTCTTCCTCCTCCTCCTCCTCCTCCTCCTCCTCCTCCTCCTGCTCCTCCTCCTCCTCCACATTCCCATCCTCCACCTCCTCCTCCTTCTTCTTCTCCTCCTCTCCTCCTCCTCCTCCTCCTCCTCCGCCTCCTCCTCCTCCTCCTCCTTCCTCCTCCTCCTCCTCCTCCTCCTCCTCCTCCTCTCTCCTCCCTCTCCTCCCCCTCCTCCGCCTCCTCCGCCTCCTTCAGGGTCGCACGAGAGACCAAGACGCGACCCCTGGGATGCTCCGCAGAGCTCGGCCTCCCAGGGCTCTCCGCTCTCCCCGGAGAGCCGGTCGCGGAGCGATCTGGGATGAAGAGCCGGTCTCGGGCGGAGGCACCGAGGGTCCCGGGCCCGTGTTTCGCAGCACCCTCTCTCTGCTGCATGCCGGGGGGGGCGGACAGGAGGAGGGAGGAGGAGGAGAGGAGCAGAAGGCGGAGGACGAAGTGCAGGAGGAGGAGGAGGAGAGGAGGAGGAGGAGGAGGAGGAGGAGGAGGAGGAGGAGGAGAGGGGGAGGAGGAGGAGGAGAGGAGGAGGAGGCGGAGGAGGAGGAGGAGGAGGAGGAGGAGGAGCAGGAGGAGGAGGAGGAGGAGGAGGAGGAGAGAGAGGAGGAGGAGGAGAGGAGGAGGAGGAGGAGGAGGAGAGGAGGAGGAGGAGGAGGAGGAGGAGGAGAGGGAGGAGGAGGAGGAGGAAGGAGGAGGAGGAGAAGGAGGAGGAGGAGGAGGGGAGGAGGAGGGGAGGGGGAGGAGGAGGAGGAGGAGGAGGAGGAGGAGGAGGAGGAGGAGGAGGAGGAGGAGGAGGAGGAGGAGGAGGAGGACCATAGGGTTTCAAGGTGGCCCTCCTGGGGCAAGAATGGCGCAGGGAGGCGACCTGCGTATCGCCGCCCCGTGACATTGGGTCATCCATGTTCGCCCATAGTGTTCATCCCACGCATCATAATCATTACAACCGGTTCTCGGAGGCACAACGCGCCCATGCAAGCATCCTAGCGCACAGAATGGCGCCGACATGTTTGGGAAAACGCCTCCTCGTTCGCTGAAGAGTGAACGGATCCCGCCTCTCCCTCAGATGCCCCCCTACGGGTTCATTCTCGTTCTTTCCCTGCCCCATCTGGGTGTTGGTTGTGGGTTTTGTCTGACGACCAAAAGCTGGAGCAAGCATTGATTGATCGGGGGTACGCTGTCAAGCTCCTTGCTCCCTCCAAGAGCTCGTCGCGCGTGCAGTCGAAGACCCTGGGAGGGAAGCCAGCCACACGTTGATGGCGAAGCCTTCGAGCCCCCGTCCCGGGACCCCCCGCCAGCACCAGCATCAGCAGGAGCAAAGCGAAGAGCAGCAATCAGCACAAAGCAGCAGCACCAAGCAGTAACAGAGAATACCAGTACAAGCCAGCGTACAAGCCAGCAGCAGGGGGCAGCATTCTTCATAAAGCAGCAGGAGGCAACAGCAAGCACGATGGAGCGAATACTGTGGGCATAGCCTCCACGAAATTGTTGCAATCGGCGCCCACGCGGCCGCCAACTTGCAAGCAAAATGATGCGCGCACGCGCATTCAGGTCGGAATTCGCGGCTGTAGCAACTTCACGTGCACTGGCCTAATTATCCGTGAATCGAAGCCAGTCTTTGTCGAGCCTGGCTCCTCTCCTGAATCGGCGGCTGTCGCATGGCGCCTTGGCGGCCTCGTGGGGCTTCGAAAGTTGTCTTCGGGGGTTCCGAGGGCCTCGGGGCGTCTTGGGGCCTCCTGGGGCTCCCTGTTGGTCTCTCGTGCGACCCTGAAGGAGGAGGAGGAGGAGGAGGAGGAGGAGGAGGAGGAGGAGGAGGAGAGGGGCTCATCTTGTTCGCCTGCAGCTTGCCTTGGATATCTAGTGTAAGTTCTCCTCTTTGCGGGCTCAGCGCTCCCACCATTTGCAGCGGGCGGTTCCGAGAGGGCCCCGCGGGCCTCCTGGAAGCCAAGCGAGATTGCCTTCGCTAAGTGTTCTGGGGTCCGATTCTAGTCTACGGCGTCTAGCAATCCAGGTGTCGAAAACAATTCAGCAACATTCATGCAGAACATATGATTTGAACTCCCCCTACCCTCCCTCTAAATGCAATGTTGGTTTCGGATCTTCCGATGTTGGGCCTCCGTGTGGTCTGCGAGGAACGCGCCAACTTTGAATTGCGGGGGAGGGGGGGAGTATTGCTTAATTTCTTCCCTCAACCGTCAGTCATTAAAGTCTGCAATTTCCTTGGATTTCTACGAATTCCGTCTGAATCATATGAACCGTTTTCCCATTGAATCATATAAGCCGTTTTTCAAGTTCTCGACGCCTCTGACGTTTGGCATATCCCAACCAGCCCATCACACTTGTCGAGCTTCCCTGATC